ATTTCGACTAATCCTCTGTGAGATTAGATGATTTTTTCTCTTTTCCACAGGGCATGCGGGACGGGCGTAATAAGCTGATGTCCTTGCTTGGCCCCGAGGCAATCGGTGCGCGTCTGGAGGCGTTTTCAAATAACGAAAGCGCGCTGCTAGAGCACCTGCAGTAGAAGATGTCTGCATCATTTGCGTCTATGACGCCACCGTCGGTGACGGATGACTTCCCCCAACCTTAGCCGCTCATGGTGAGCGTTAAGGTCTTTGAGGGTACGGATGGAGTGAATTTCCTACTCTGGATGATAGAGGTCAAGATGTCCATCGCATCCGCCATGCTCCAGACCGAGCAACAGCGCGTGGCGCTAGCCGTCTCAAAACTCGGTGGTCGAGCGCGAGAATGGGCACTGACGTGCGGCACTTCACTTGGAGCTGCGTTTCCCTCCTGGGCGGAGCTGAAATTGCAGCTCTCATGAGTATTCTCGCCGCCTAGTCAGGCGTATCGCGTGCGATCGCGTTTTCTTGCCACCCGACAGGGCAACAAGATATTGGTGGACTTTGTCCAAGAGTTACAAACTCTCATTGCCGGGATAGCAGCATATCCCCTCCCGGAGGCGGTCACACTTACCGTGTCTCTGGAAGGCCTCCGCACTGGCGTGGCCAGAAGGGAAGTATTCCGTGTGCATCCGTCCTCATTTGAAGAAGCGGTGAATACGGCATTGAATGCCGAATTCAATTTCAAGTCGGCACAACTCGGTTGGAATGCACACTCCAACAGCTCGTCGAGCGGGCCTATGCCCATGGATCTCAGCTATGCTGAGGATGAGGGAGCAGAGCTCCGAGCTGCCGGGCAGCATACATTCGACGGTGTTTTGTCTGTGGAGACACTCGTCACCCTCGGAACGGTTGCCCCTTACGCAAGGCGCGCCAAGGTTCTTCGAACCATCGCCCCAACGCCTACCAGTCTGGTTCGTCGCTGGGAAACGACACCCCTCAGTAGGCGCGAGGCGACCTACTGGGAAGAACTGAGTTATGTTGAGCCTCAGGGAGGCATAGGTCAACAGGGCCCAGCCCCGAAGAGCTCCGTGCTCTTACACACGGAACGTGTGTGCAAGCCGGGCTTGCTGGTCGTGGAGGTGACGGTAAAGGGCTTAGAGAAGCCATGGAAGATCCTCATCGGTTCTGGGGCGTCAGGCAATTATGCTCGACGCTCCACGATGGAGGGAAATCAGCTGTATGATAAGGCGCTAAAACGCGGTTGGGTGACATCGTAACTGTTCACTTAGCGACGTGGACACGTGTCACGGTCCCGAAGGTCCCTGCGGACCTCGGAGTCAAGTTTTTTTACTTTGATAGCGTGGAACGCTGTCTAGTTCTAGACTTAGATGCAAGGTATGACCTCATCCTAGGAATGGCATAGTTGGAACACCATGAGCCATGGATTGATTGGAGGTCAACGACCTTGGGCGCCACGCGCACGTCTCCTGGTGGAGCTTTGGCGAGTAATCCACCCACCTCTACCAGGAGACAAAAGCGCTATTGGCGAGAGCACTGGACCGAGACGGTCAACGTGTTAGACAGCCGAGGGCCGAGGTTTTGAGAGCGAGGCCCCCGTGATGCACGTGAAGTGGCACGTAAACCACTGAGCACTGCACTCGTTGCGAAGC